GAAAAAAAAAAAAAAAAAACAGCCTCCCATACCCACCCCACCCCCATAAAAAAACCTAACTCACTGCCATCAAGTCTATTCCAACTCATAGTGAGCCCCACTGGGTTTCTGAGGCTATAAATCTTTATAAAAGTAGATGGCCCTGTCTTCCTACTGTGGAGCAGCTGGTGGATTTGAACTGCTGACTCTGTGGTTAATAACCAAATGCCTTAACCACTACATGTATTCCCTGAGTCCTTGTTATATGCTGATTATTGTCCTAATTAATACTGAGAATTCAGTGGAAGTGTAAAACCATCCTTTCTCAAGAAGCATATTTATTTTCTACTGAGGAAGACAAACTTAAATGCAGAGTCCAGATAAATGCAGTATATAGGAGAGATATAAAGAAGGTTGAACAGAGGCTTCTTTGTGGTGGGTATGAGTAGACAAGGTCCATACTCAAGAGTATAAAAGTCCTTGTGAGAGCTAGAGAGAGGTTTGTCTTTTGAATTAAGTCAGATATTAAAACCATATAGTTTATTCAGTATAAGAAGGATGTAACTTTAGTAAAATAACCTTGGCTGTATTACGTATTTAGAATAAGAACAGAGGAACTTTACAGCTGTTAACATACTAAATGCGTGAATGATAAAATAAAATGGTGGAAGAGTTATCAAGTAGGATTGGGTCTTAATTTAAATGGACAGCAAGATGAACCCAAAGTAGAAATTAATGTGATTCCTTGAAAGAATGTGAAAGAATTGGAGGTGAAGGATGGGTAGTGTGTTTTGTTACGCTTTGATTTGTTTTGGATGGAGGTGAGTAGGTAGGGACAAAGAGATTAATGAATCCCAAGAAGGAAGAATAATTATAGTTGAGAAAAGGAGTACTTTTAAAGCTAGAAATTTCCCTATGGATGGGGAAGGTGCATGGCGTTATTTTATTATGCATGTTGGGTAGAATTTATAATACTGGGTAGAAGGTTTAACTTAATGACCTTTTCCAACTCAGAGATAGTATGAATTTCCCACTGACAAAAATGGGAAAGATGTGAAGACGAGATCATTTAGCCAGGAAAGGATACTGTAAAGATTCTCAAGTCACTAAGGATGTCTTAGAGTGTTCTTGAAGAGTTTTTGGGGACCTTTATTATTATTATTATTATTTATTATCACACTTTAAAAGCGGTATTTCAGATTGAGGTTTGCTGTAGAAGAATATTCTTAGTGGTACCACCTAGCAAACCAACACATACCACATAATTTTAGATTTCTAGATGTGTTCTAGTTGTCATCTCTTTAATTAAATCTCAAATTAAGTTTCTTGGGCTTTAAAGAGAATTATAAAAATCAGTAATTTACAGGAATCCTGTGTATTAAAAAAAAAATTTCCTATTTTTCCTTTGATCCTTTTTTTCCCCTCTTCCACTGCTTTCGTTTTGTCACACTGACTATTCAATCCCATACAATTTCAGCACTCCCTCGCATTGTTTTGTACTGAAGCTTCTTACAGGTTAATATTGGCAGCGATAACCACATTCCACAACTCTTAACTCGTCCTTCTTGCATTTTTCTGAGACTTTGACTTAGATGACTACCTGGTCTTCCTTTAACGTTTGAGAGGTATGTTCTTTGTTAGTGTTATGTTCCCATCTCAGCAGAAATTTTCCTTTCTTGTACTTAAATGTAGGTATTCTCTAAGCTTTTATCCTCAGAATTTATTTTTCTCTCTCTTTCCCCTCTCTTGGAGATATATAATCTCACAATTGAACATATTAAAGCCACAGCATATGTATATTTAAATAATACTAATTCAACCATAGGCACTCAGCCAAATTAGAAAAATAAAGAATGTGTTTAATAATAGCATGTTTAGTAGTGGTGGCAGTCCTTTCTAGGTGCCATTATTGTATGTATGCCCAAAGTGAGCAGTTACAAGCTAGAAACTGTGACTGCTCTTCCTTTACTCACTTTTAGCTTCTGCAGGCCTCTTGTAGAATCTCATTGAACTGAGTGAGATTCTTTTTTTTTTTTTCCCCATATAAATTTCCCTAAGTTCAAGCCAACAGCTTCATCGTTTAACTGAAAAACTAGTGGTCCATTCCAATGCTGGAAGAATACCTAACTGTGTTAACTTATTGAGAGAGATCGTGTCTATCTCCATTGCTACTTTTGTCAGGACATTTCCAGGGTAATTTGGTGGGGTTGGGGAAGGACACTGGGTTTTTTTGCTTTTTTTCATTCTTAGGCTGGTTTTAGAATCCCACATCTGATGCCATTGTAGTCCCTTATTAAAAATTCTCAAATCCTTTAAAAATGTATTTGAATAAATTAATACAATATAGCTTCTGGTGGAACCTGAGTTCCATCTGAATATCTTGCCTGATACCTCATTCTCAGTGTGTACCAGTTCAGTTCATCTTAGCTTCACCTTCTCACACCTCCCAAATCACCATTTCTTGACTTAACTCGGCTCTTAATGATACCACCCTTCACCCAGCTTTCTAGGCTTAAAATCTTTTTCAGGTTGCCCACCTTACCTCTACATAATGATTACTTATTAAATTTAGTGTGAGCTTACCAACCTTCATTTTCACAGCCTTTTCAAAAATGGTCCATCCTTTATTTTACTTAAATAACATGAACTTTCCAGTTCCACTTCTTCCTGACACAAATCCTGTTCTCTTCACATGGGATGCCTTTTTCTTCATCTTTGCCTTTCAGAATTTCTTCCATTCTAAAGCTCATCTCAGTCTCCAGCCTTTCCATTTTTCCTTTTTCTTGCTCCTTTTCCCCACTCCAGTCATTTTGTGTTTTTCTCTTGTGTTTGAATCTCCAAAATCCGCTCTACTGTTTGCTTTTAATTATGCTTATTTGTGTTCATCCAATCTCCTGTTTAATTGTAAGGTTTAGAAAGTTTATATGATGTATCTTTATTCTGTGATCTATATTGTAGGCATACTTAAAACCTATTTGTTGATTTAAAAAAATTTTTTTTTCATTGTGTGCTTTATTTCTTTCACTTTTTGTTCCCTTTTCAGTAATGATGACTTTCTTCTAGCTCTGCCTTTAGATTTAACAAACATCAGTTAATCAGATTCTGTTTGCTCAGGTGTTGTCCTAGGTGATTTTTACATATATTGTAAATACAGTGTCATGTTTTCATATATTTGATACTCAGAACAATTTGTAATATGGATCTGACAGGAGATGCTCAGTGTCCAGGTACTTATTAATCTAGAGGAAGCACCAAGAAGCAAAAGTTGCCAAACAAGAAAGTATTCACTAATGAACTGATCCCTTATAAAATTAGGTTCTACTCACCAACTCTCCCTAATTAACTCTAGTGTTATCTATCCCATCCACCATATCAGCATCTTTCTCTGTCATTTTCTTGCTGCTAGTGCAAATACTGGATACTCATCTGTCAACAATTTTGTAGGCTATTTAAGCCGTTCTGTTACACCTCACAGACATCATGAAGTCCTGCATCTTTTGCAATATTTGTGATTTTAAAATTTTAATGAATTTTAAATTTAATGCATTTTAAAAATTTATAAATTACAAATACTGCTAAAGATGCAGGACTTCATGATGTGAAAGTGTAAGAGAATGGCTTAAGTGGCCTGCAAAATCGTTGACAGATGAGTATTCAGCTGAAGTAATGATTGAAGAAAAAAGGATGAGTCATGGGCAAATATTTCAAAAAAATAATTTTTGAGTAACAATGATTAAGAGAGGCCATTGAGAAAATGAACTCATTTTCATAACTTTTAGTTTCATATTTCATACTAAGTTGTAATCAACCCTTTGTTTTTTTCATCCTTCATTATGAAATATTTGGCCATGTTTTAAATAGGTTCCAGTACCAGTTATCCTCGATACTAAGGACCTCTTTTATCGCAGCTGGGGTAAAATAAGATTGTCCAGGTATTAAATGTTACCTACTACTCCACTGTTTTTACTCCCCTTTTTTGGGAATATAATTTAAATTTTCTGGGTTTTTTTTCCCCCAATCATCTCCCTTTCCTTTTTCCTTGCTTAGCTTTGGTTTGCCCTTTTCTTATTACTACTTCTGTGTGTTCCCTCATTTTTCCTAATCCCTTCTTTCTCTCTTCCTTTTTGTTGTTGTTCCTTTGCCTCATTGCTAATGTCCTAAACACTATCTATCTTCTGGCCCATTTGCTGTACCTTTTTAATCATATCTGAAATTCAGTGCTTTCTCTTTTAGGTTTTTGCTTTCTTTTGTAATAAAAATAATTTTTTCTAATTTTGCATTTCTGTTTCTTCCATTGTTTTTATTTTTCACTCATGGTGAAAAAAATGATGTTTCCCAGAGTTTCTGTGCAATATACAAACTCTTACTGCTTAAGACCATGAGTGAGGTAAGACCTTCTGTATGCAAAGGAAGCCCTTCTTTCTGTTTTGCCAGTATATTCAGGTATTACACCAGGCCACTTGGCAGCTCCTACTACAAGCCTTTGTAGGGCAGTGTACTTATTTCTGGCCTTCCATCTACTGCCAAAGGTCCTTGATTTACTAGTCAGTAGGTACGTTGTTGTTGTTGTTATGTGCTGTTGAGTCTGACCCGACTCAGAGCGACCCCTCCTTGGGTTGCCGAGGCAGTATCACTACAGAAATAGATTGCCCCATCTTCCTTCTGAGGAGTGGCTGGTGGGCTTGAACCGCCAGCCCTCTGGTTAGCAGTCAAGTGCTTAGGTACTACGCTACCAGAGCTCCCAGTCAGTAGGTATACACTAATGAAATTTGATTAGGTATTTAATATTACATAATAGACACATCCTAAACCTAGGATTTTTTCTTAAAAACAGAAAATACTGGGAAATCTTGGGAGCAAAATCTGTTCTTATCAGTGAGTCACTTTCTACTTAAGAAACTTAAAGAAAATTTAAAGAATTATTTTAAGAAATAAGGACTTAGGGCTGGTCAACTGTTCTATCTTAATCTATACCACTGTTATTGTGGAGTAAGGGTAAGTTTGATATAAATATCAGGGGAAGAAATTTTAGAGATTAACAGATCCTCTAAAAAAAAATAAAGCCTCTTAAAATGTTTAAAACTAGGCTAAAATTACTATCCACAACGTGTGATAGGAACATTGTAGTCAGAAAATGGAGTTGCTGCTCTAATGGACATCCTCAGGTTTTAATGTCTCTGACTAGAGAATAAATGCAAATGTTCATTCTCCCAAGTTGATGCATTTCTCATTCATTATCTTTCTCTGGGGGTAAAAGGTAACACAGGAAATATTTTTTAATCCTTCTAAAAATTGAATCTTCATAAATTAGAGTTTTAGTAATCTTCATGTCTGTGATTTGGTGAAAAGTTAAAAAAAAAAATAAGCACTTTGGAAAAATGTCTGTCTTCATATCCTCATTAGGAAACTTCTCTTTAATTTTGTAGTCAAATCAGAAAATTAATGCCCGTTGGACCACAGAGGAGCAGCTTCTAGCAGTGCAAGGTATATTAAAGATAAGCAGTTATTGTTGTTAATAATTATCTTTAACTTGTCATGAAAGGTGACTACCATAGTTCTTCCCTTCCTTTAGAAATGGATCAAGAGGGGGCTTTTGTGTTCACCACAGAGCCCTGGTGACCAGGAATTCTGTGTTGTACCTGAGCCTATGTGTATTATGGGGCCTAAACAGCACATAGCACGTTCTCAGCATTCAGTAAAATGATGGTGATGACAAACATGAGCAAGTTGGTTGGGCTCTCTTGTTGCCTCTGTTTCAGCATCCCTGCAACTGGGTTCATCCTTACTATGTCACTTATTGATAGCTCATAGTTAAAAGCATAACTGTACTGTGTTTTTGGTTTCTCTAAATATTCTATATCTAGTGTTTCTCTATTTGATAAATGTCAGGTACTAAAAATATTAACTGTGTGCCTAACTTTCGGTATATCATACCTTACTTAAGAGATGTGCCATGGAATGCTTAGAAAACTGACATGAAAACCATACATTTATATAATCATATATATATATATATATATACACACACACACATACATACATACATGTATAGAGAGAGAAAGGGAGAAACTTAAGGGATGTTGAAAATACATATATAGTATTTTAATTCACTATAAGAATGCTTTGTTAAGTTATATGGCTGAAGACTTTGTATTATGAATATACATGGGCAAATTGTAAGCATAAACTTAGATTGCCTCATGTTTGAATTGCTTAAAAAAGGGCAAATTATGTATTTTTATTCAGCATTGTGATTATTTTTATCTTTCTCTCAAGATACTATCTGCAGAACTGATTGTGTAAAGTTTGGTTGACATTTTGTTTCTTTCTGGCTGAGCCTCCTTTTGTGTTGAGTGGTAATAGCTCTTCAACTAGGTTAACGAGTGTCAAAGAATGGGTCCAAGTAAATGTGTATATCATCATTCTAGCAGTGAAACATAAGCATACCTTTTAAAATATTTCCTGATGTACATCAGAGAACATATTTAATTTAAAAATGCTGTGCAAGCATCATTCAGATATGAGAATGATGTAATTCAAGATTGACTGATAGATGATTCTGCAGTTTGGATTAGGGAAAGTGAGAATTAGCCAGCCAGTATGATTTGAAAATGTCATAGGCAGATGCCAGCAGGATGATACCAGCCTTCCCTTTTTGCTGCTACAGCATATCAGAGTCTTTCATGACAAGAAGGACTTGATACTGTGGAGCCAGGGTGCTGGATGTGCATTTAGCACATTATAGGACTAAGCGTCCAAGTGAGTCAGAGCAAGGTTTAGTTAGTTTATAAGGTATAGTGGTAACTTTTTAAAATTAGAAACTGACAGTTTAACATTTATCTTAAAAATAAGGGAGCATTTTCAGTGGCTGCTTCATATTCATTTAGAATTTTGATGACTTATAGCTCTAACATAGTTATTGTGAGTAGGCATTACTTTTATTCGTATAAAGCCTATGTTTCCCTCTATCATAGTTTTAGCCTGTAAGAACTGAACCCTGGTTTCCAGTATTCAGTTGCTTAAAGGTCAGTATGTTAATCCTATATTCTAATACAAGAAATTATCCCAGTGAAAAGATTTTCTGACAAGTCCTCCTAGGAAAATCTGGGCTAATGCTTCTCTATGCAGCCTTCTAGATTTGCCATTATTCTACAGCACTGCTTCTGTAGTAGTGTCTATCACATCTTTTGGCTAGGTTGAATATTATACAAAGCTGCATTCAAGAGAAGGTGTGATGATGGCAAGATTTATATATATAGTTTGGGTTGTATATGTGGACTTTATCTCAGGTTGTAAATTATTAAAATGAAAGACTAGATTAGATATAACCAAACATTTTCTCTGTACTGACACATATTCAGTGTTATATTCTTCTACATATTTTATAAGTAACCCTTAATAAATTATACTAATACAGTAATTTGTACAGAGATATGAATATTTGGATTTTAAGGCACCTTCTTAATAATGTGTTTATGTCTTTATTTATTTGGACAGTTTGGAATTTTTATTTTGACTTAGGTTTTTTCTTTATGAAATAAATCAGTACAAAGGTGCATGTGTCCAAAATAATGATTTTAGAATTAAAAAGTGCCAGTTTTGTCTCCTATGCTCATACATTTATATAATGCTCGGAAGTGTACTTTATAAACAGTATAATCATATAGCGGTGTCACCTGTACCTGAATCTTGGTGTATTAAGGTACATAATGACTGTTAGTTTTAACATGTGTAGTTTACTGTCCAAAAGTTATTATCTTAGTGGGCAGTTATTTTTGTTTTCTCCTTCTCTTCTTTTCTTCTGTTTATAAACTATTTATAGTAACCTTTATGTGTTTTTTTCTCTAATAGCCACTTAAGTTTTAGAAAGTAATTATAAATTACGTGCTTTGATATTAACGTGTTTTAATTTATATAATATTTTTTATTCAGGATATTTTACAAACACATTCTAATTTGACACTCCTTTGTTAAATGCTTCATTTTATCTTGTCCACAGTAACTATTACAGTGACTTAGGGAAAGAACTATTCACTGTGACGTCACTAGTGAGATTTATAACTACCATTAAATAAACTTATTTTTTGTAGTGATTCTTTTAAAGACGAACAAGATATGTTAAGATTCTTTAGAGTGTAAATAAATATTTCCCAGCTCACTTTCCTTTTTTTTTCCGTTTATATTGTTGTTAACTAAGCACTGTATATTTAAATAACTTCTCTGTTCTTTCTCCCCTAATTGTAAGGGGGGGAAGTCATGCTCAGACCAAATAGGAATGTTTGTACTTTTGTAATCTAGCATTTTATTATGTTAATTATAGTTCTAGCTATGTTATAATTTCAACAACATTCTTAGTCCCCAAGAGGGATATTATAAATACAGATAACTTAATCTTCTTCAAATATTTTCCAAGAATAGTATTTCTACAATATCTGTCACTTGTTGCAACCTTAAGTGCCTATTTTTTTTTATTTAATAAATACTGTGTTAACACTGAGACTAATCATGCCCTTCACATATTTGGATTAATGGTGAACTATTATCCTTGTAGCTTGTGGCATATGTACATGTATTTTTTTTTTCCTTACTTACAGTGCTTTTACATATATGCTATAAAATCAAACTTGATACACATGTAGCAGACATTCTTAAGTTATCAAGAATTAAGTAAGGAATTAGATTCTAGATGTTTTTTTTCCATTTAAAAAAGAATAGCTATTGGCTATTTTCACAGAATAATAAAATATTTTAATGATACTACAAATTGTATACTTTTTGCAATATGTGGCAGGCAGATACATTGTATAAAATAGTTGCCATTTTTATTTTAGGTCTTAAATGTGTGTGTTTCCCAATTAAAACATTTGTGCTTTTTTTTTTTGGTAAACTACAACAACAAAATGTCCAGTTTTATCAAGATGTCAACTTTAATTTTCAGTTCTTTTTCATATTGCCTGCCTTCTGATATAAAACAGGAAATGACAGAACTATGTTCCAGTGGGTTCTGTTTATACTTAAATGTTGCCTTCTCTTCCTATAGTTCATATATGCATTTCCTGAACTGAACTTGCAAGTCTGAAAATTATCTTCTTCCTAGTTTTATCTCACACTTAAAAAAATTTTTTTAGAATGGTTCATAAAGTAGGAAGAAAAAAGATTTGGCAATTAATAAAAAGATTGTAATTACTACATGAAGAATCAGAAGGAAATGGAGATAGGTGATTCGTGCCTTTCAGTGTAATTGGCACCAGTTTGCTTTAGGGAGGTTTTAATTATAAGAGATATCTTAAGAGTGGAGGTCCAAAAGTGTAATTGTCAGCCCTTTGATGTACTTCAGATAATTCATGATTGCCTATTCCCAGCATTTTTGTAACGGCATTTAAATTATAATGAAAATAGTGGAATATATGGCCCAGAATAGAAAGGAGAAACACTGGAAGGCAGGATGTGTGATTTTGACTTTTAGCCCTCATAAATGCACCATTCTCCATCCCATTGCCCTAGATATATTTTCCATCTTCATTATTACTGAATTTTTAAAGAGATTTACAGGAGGTGGAAAGAAGTGCGTGTTCCCAAATGATTTGGGTTTAAAATTTATTTCTTACTGATAGAAAACAATCACATCCCTAGAGTTTCTAGGTATCCAGAGATGTCACAATGTTTCTGTTATTTCAAAAATAGATTTTTGAGAAATTAATGTTTCCCAGTTATCGTACTAATTGTATGCTTATTTTAAGAAAGTTTGCTTTAAGAAGCAGGAAAAAATTAGCCCTTGATATTATACTCCAGAAACTGCTTGCCATTATTATTGTTTGGCCTCTCCCCATCCCCACCCCCACCCCTGTAAGATCAAATTTTAAAGATAGCACTTAAAACATACCAAAAACGGCTATCCATGATAACCCTTTTAATTTAGAAAAACTTGTATGATTTCATGTCCAGAGTTGGGGAAAAAAACTGTATTATAACATGCTTCTGAAATTAACCGTCGTATGTTGTTGTTGTTGTTATGTGCCGTCGAGTCAGCCCCGACTCATAGCGACCCCTCCTTGGGTTTCCGAGGCAGTATCACTACGGAAGTAGGATTGCCCAACCTTCCTTCCGAGGAGTGGCTGGTGGGTTTGAACCGCCAGCCTTCTGGTTAGCAGTCAAGTGCTTTAGCCACTATGCTACCAGAGCTCCTAACCGTCGTATAGACAAAACAAAAAATAACAATGGATGTTTTTGTTTGGGGTTATATAGACTCCTGGCTGAAAAATGTGGGCTCTCATAAAATGTAATAACAACAGAATATCCTCATGAGTTATATTTTTATGTTAATTCCCTAGCAAGTTTGTAAAGTAAATATTATAAGATATTGTCTGCCACAAAGGAGAGAGCCAAGTTGTTTCATTGTAGCTTCCAATGAAATTTAGAAATTCGACTGGAAACAATTTTTCCCTCTCCCTGGGAGTTTATAATTTATTTCTTCCAGGGTTATCTAAATTTTCATTCCAATGACCTCTTGCCCCAAAATTGAGAAGTTTAACTAATTTAGTAGCTATGGTTCAGTTGAGCCTGAGCCTTTTACATCTTCAGGAAGAGTTATTTAACTCCCTTGATGATAAAGCAAGAAGATTGCCTTGTTTATTATAAACTATGGGGAAAGGATCGATTGCCCTTCCTCCCACGTACAGATTGGAAAGAAGGTAGCTCTGATGTCATATGTTGTTAAAGTTCTTTGTTCATCATCACTAACTCTCTGTTAGATTATCCTCCCAAATCATAGCTAGGGATTCTTCTTCTGAAGGAGGGGTTCCATTAAGTCTTTTTCTTCCATCTTTGACTAGAGTGAGGCCAGCTACAATACAGAGCCTAAGAATTCCATCTTCTTCTAATAAAGCATGCTGTTGGGCAGCATTATTGGGAGTGTGAAGGTGATGAAGTTAGTCATAGATGCCACTTGTGGTTTTAGGAAGAATTGGGAAAAACAATAAAGCCTTATAAAAAGGAAAGCTCAATCCTATTTCCTGATGTAACCTGTTTACTCGGCACTAGCAATGCTGGTGCTGATTTGTATTACATAGTACAGTACTTCCAAACCTTTTTCACATTATGGCACACTGAGAAAATTAGGGAATTTGTCACAACACACTGGGGCAAAAGATGAGGTGGCTCTAGTCCAGATGAGCCTGCCAAGGAGCCTGCCTTGCTACCCTGTGGTCTGAGGGGATTATTGTCTTGGCACACTTTTTCTGAGCACACTGATTGGGAAGGATACTGAGCCAGAATACTGAAGTCTGGAGTGTGATCTGAAGCTTAAGATTCTGCAAAGTAGGGGATATGAGACTGACATATATGAGTTAATAAACATACAGACATTTAACTCAGAACCTAGCTGACTTGGAAAAAATGCTTAACATCTAAGGTCTCTAGTAAAATTAAAGCTTTTATGAGAAGTAGTTCTGGGTTTAGGGCCTATAATTTCGGAGATTTTACAGTATTGGTGACAAGTCCATTAAGCAAGAGAAGATGTGAAAGTGGAATAGCAGAAGGAATAGTCAGAAAAAGAGCTATATAATGGAATCAAACTTGTGGAGAACATAGTGGTTAGGTTTTGGGTAATTTTTTGCTAAACAAATGGGTGTTCTGAGAGTTGTAATATATTCAGATTTGGAGTCATAGAGTTAGTTCTAATGTCTAGGATACAGAAGATCCTATAATGGCTAGGCTTATTTAGGGTTTTCATATCTAAACTCATGTTCAGCAGGTTTGGCTATTTGTTCATGTCAATTAAGTGCTTATGAAAATTAGTGCACTGATGGAGCACTGTGTCTAGTATCTAATTAGTAGTAATTCTTCAATACAGTGATCAAATTTTACTTTCAGAAATGGTACAGATACTCGACCATTTTAAGACTTTTTAAAACTTTTTTCTAAAGTTTTAATAGTGGAGAAATACTTGAATATGTAACAATTACTCCTACTGTGAAATAACTGTGAATTTATGTTGCCAAATAAGCCCTCAGTTAAATTTAGACCTCATTGTAATTTGTGCTTAACTGTGAAGTTCAAATGGAAAACCAATTCATGGATTTTAAGAGACTATAAATTCATTTGTGTTAATAAGCATTGCAAACTATGCTTCAGTATCCTTATTACTTGGTTGTCATATGTATCTTTTCCTTTGAGAACAGAGCAGATGACCATAGTTCACAAACCCATAACTACATTAAAAATGGGATATGGTTATAGGATAATAGTGTCAGACCTGCTACCCAAAATGCTCTAAGGTACAGAAACTTCTTAGAGTCAAGCCCAGCCAATTGAATGTAACCAGAGATGCTTATTCCCAATTTCTCAATAAAGTACAAGGGCAGAATTTAAAAACTGGAATTAATGCCACAATCTGTTGGTGCTTTAAAGAAATAGGATATTTTGTGCCAATTGGTATCAGTGAAGAAATTATAAAATCAAAATTCTTGACAACTTTTGTATTTTGAGCTAAGTGCATCATCTTCTAGAATGATTAAACTTATTTTAGAATTTCCTTAAGAGAAAAATATTCTTTCTGATTATGTAAAGTCATTTTAAATTCTGTGGAATAATTGGTAATCTCAAGTTCATAAATCAAATATTATCCTTCATTATGATAAAATTTCCTTTATGAAAAGTAAGTTCTCAAATTGTGCAGCCTTTCTTAAGTAGTGGTTGATGATGAGCAGAACAGATACTCTGCAAGTAGTCACTAATCTTTAGGCTAAAATATATAGGTAAGAATCCTTCATATATACAGTCTTTAGAACTATTAGAAGTGTTAAAATCCAGCTAACTCTGAAAAATATCTAACATTTTTTGTCCATCAGATTGCTAAGCTTCTCTTGCTTTTTTACAATTAATTTCTTATCTCTTTTCTATTCCTTGGTACCCTGGTGGAATAGGCAAGTAATCATGTTGAAGTTAGCATTAAAACCAAAATGAAAATGGTTTTCTTAATGGGAAAGCCTAAGGCTACTCACTCAGTCCACTGAGGGGATAAAAGATGGTATATACCCATCCAGTTTTGTTTACAAACGGTGTTGCTCAAATTTAGGTGACTGGCTACTAGGGAAATAAATGAATATGGAATTGAGGATGGAACAAAGAATTCAATGCTTTACAATAATGGACTGTATTTGAGAGTTCAAGAGAGGAATGGCGAAAATAACTGAGTATGTAAAAAATGGTAAGTTTCTGATTGTTCAGTTGAAGGCAAGTGGCTGGATTGATGAAATGACATAATTGATAGTTCTCATCCTGTGACCCTGATATCTTAGCCTCTCTCTCAGAATTGAGAAATGAGCAGAGTTTATTAGAAAGGGGTATTCATTGCTGGTATCTTTTGTGTGTGCATGATGTATAGTACACACAGCTCTCCTTATTGATCCTTCACAGGTGTATTATTTACTTTGCCTTCCAGGTGTCCGCAAATATGGTAAAGATTTTCAAGCTATTGCAGATGTAATTGGCAACAAGACTGTTGGCCAAGTGAAGAACTTCTTTGTAAACTACAGGCGTCGGTTTAACTTAGAGGAGGTATTGCAGGAGTGGGAAGCAGAACAAGGAACCCAGGCTTCTAATGGTGATGCTTCTACTTTAGGGGAGGAGACAAAAAGTGCTTCTAATGTGCCATCAGGGAAGAGCACTGATGAAGAAGAGGAGGTGTGTTTGTGTATGGAATTTGAGTTAATATGAGCTGAGGAATCACCATTTTGTGTGGTGTTCTGTAAGGTTAATTTGTCAGAGGACTAGCTAAATGAGCATGAAAGGTTGACAATACACTTAACTCAGTGGTGCATTTCTCCTGACTCTTAAGTCATAATGACATGCTAAGTTCTGATCCTAGAAGAATGGAGAGTGTATTGTTCTTTCATAGTCTTATTTTCATTTCCAGTGTTAAGCTGTTTACCAATAAGATGCCTGTTTCTTAGCTTCATTGCTTTTTCAGTTTTTTGTTTTGTTTAAAATAAAAGAAGCTTGTGCTTCCAATAAACACTGGTGTTTTGTTTTTGTTTCGTTTTGATTTGTTTTGTTTTTCCTGTGACAGCCCAAACTATATTGTATTAAGTTCATTAGGAACCATCATCTCATACGTGTATTTTTGTTTTCTCACCTCTAGGCACACACCCCACAGGCTCCTCGAACTCTGGGTCCATCACCTCCTGCCCCATCATCCACTCCAACACCAACAGCCCCCATTGCCACTCTGAACCAGCCTCCACCACTTCTTCGTCCAACACTGCCTGCTGCCCCTGCTCTTCACCGACAGCCTCCTCCACTCCAGCAGCAGGCTCGGTTCATCCAGCCCCGGCCAACTTTAAATCAGCCTCCACCACCTCTCATCCGCCCTGCTAATTCTATGCCACCCCGTCTAAACCCAAGACCAGTGTTGTCCACAGTTGGTGGTCAACAGCCACCATCACTTGTCGGAATTCAGACAGATTCACAATCCTCACTGCACTAAAAAGTAAATTGGACAGAGCTGCAGTAACTATCACCCCTCATTATACCAGTGCTCATCTGACTGATGCAAAAGAGAGAAAAGAGTAATCTTTCCTAGATACTGAGGCTGCGAACTAGTTTTGTGGCAGTGGAATAGCATAAGTGGAAGTCTTAAGAAATGTTTCAGTTCACTAGACTAAAAGGTTATGCAACAAAGAGCCTCCAGATAGCCTCCTTTCTAGTGCAAATGTTCAACAATGTGATCTTATAAAAGGAAACAAATAATTAAGTATTCTATATACCAAGGTTTTTTGTTTTTGTTTTTACTATATTTATTTTACTGAAGTTCTTTATATTCTAGCCTCTTCATAGTCAGGGCTCTTAGTACAGGAATATTGATTTAGGAATTGTGAAAACTCCTTAAGTTGTTACATTAAGGATGTTTGACTTTTTTCCTTTTTTCTTTAATTTAATTTTTTTTTTTAATAAACATTTTCCTATGTTAGGAGTGCAAGAGTAAATAGCCTGCCTCTCAGATTTTCACATACGTATTTAAGAAATTATAGCTGCATATCCCTATTTTCAAAAGATTTGCTTTTTTTCCAAAGGAATTTTAATGTATTCCTTTAAAAGAAAGCAATTTAATCAATTGCAAAGCAATTATATGAAACCACAAAGAATGTACTGAACCTAATAACCCTTTAACATACAATTAAGGGTCCTAGTGCATAGTCCTTGTTTAAAGGTCGTTGGCCCATCATCTGTAGGGTAATAAGAGGATTGGAGTAATAATTTTACATGCAAATGAGAGCTTAATTTGTTCAAGTACCGTGTCTTGTTTAAGTTCTTTATAAAATGGAGTTTTTCTTTTTTTTTTTTTTTTAAATGTTTCTGAATGCTATGTGCTTTTAGTTAGTAGTTGCCTACACTTGGGAACTTTAGAAGAGAATTATATATTTTGTCATGTATGTGGAGATGGTGGTTATGGAAACATTTATTTTCAGTACCCTTTTTGTGTTTAGGTTTTTCTGAACTTACAGTCGCCCCCCTACTTACTAATATGGTCTGTGCTTAATACGAAAGATGTTTTCTTGATAAATCTCTGTTGTACTGTTTGGATGCATTTGTGTATTCCTTGCAGGCACCCTGTACTCATGGGTTTGGTTTAAGGTTAAATCATCAACATTATTTCATAAAATAAAATTAAGAGTTTGTTCTATGTTATCTAAAAATGTGAGTATATTGTCACAATTGTGCTAAAAATGCTGATACCCTTTTTATAAAAAACAAGGATATTTCAAGCCTTCTCGATTCAGCACATAATCATTAAACACCTATAAAGAATATTTTACAAATGATAGTATTTCAGCAATGTGTTACTAATATTTTTGATACAATTTAATATTGGGATCATGAGTTGTGCAAAGGGACAGATCACTTAGATTGCTATACTAATGGAACATAAGGCTAAATGTTTGCACATTCACATTCCTACCACATTTAGAACTACTTCACATCATGATCAGCATCTAAAGAGTTTGAGAGGTCTTATTTTTCCCAAAATACTGGGAAAATAGTCCCTACCATTGTCTCTAAAGCATTAAAGATAAAATTAACCCATTGATTAGTTTTACATCTGAAAGTGAGACCACTTCTTTCTATAAGGACCTTAAGTTCTGGCGTAATGTAAAAATTTTTTTCTAGGATAGGGCCTTTCTTTCTCATTGGATCATCTCAAATAGATCCTGCTCCTGGATCATAACCAGGTAAATTTAATTTAAAAATTCTTAGAATTCAAGTGTTTTTACTTTAAAAGCCACAGAGGACAGTTAAATATCTTAAAATATCTAAAGTATTTTTTAAAAGTACTTCAATCAAGTCTTGCGTATGTGCATACTATACCTTTACAGCGTTTATTGTCTTGTCTCCTGTCAGTAAACCTTCAGTATACAGTATGTGGCATATGTCAGTAAGTTGGTCAGCCCCAGCATCTGTCCAACTGTTGAGTATATTGTGATTCATTTAAAATCTGTCCCAGACATGGGCCAAGGTGCTGTATCTGAGGGATGTGTTGTAATTTGATTTACGTACATTAGAGCACATGGTAGAAAACTCTTAGCTTCATTAGTAATATGATACATGTATATAGTGAGATGTCTTTATTGTGTGCTTTGCATATTTTGTAAATATTTTGCACGTCATTTTTCTTTTTTTGTTTAAGCAGTGTTTGGCCTGGAAGAGTGATATGCTTGCTGCTTAATCAAAGGATTAAAGATTTAAAGATGTCTATGTCTTCTATTTTTATATAATTTCATGTTGTATGAGGAATTTAGGACCTCTTTACTGTGAAACTCTTAAATCCTGATTTTTATATATATATTAAAAAAAAACTAGAACTCTCTTACATTTTCATTAATTTCAGGGTTATCATTTTGAAAACTCTACCCCCAAGTGTTTTTGTTTTTATACATAACTAAAAGTAAATCACAGTGTTGTTACATCTGGTAAATTTAATGAAAAAATACTCTGTATAATGTAATTCCAGTGTAATAAGGATGGAGGGGAAGGTAAGTTACAATAAAAACTTGTCCATAATTAATAAATTTACAATTGAGTAAAATAAAGATGAGAGAATGTAAAATTGTCTTCACATAGGCCTACATTGTTTTTAGGCATAAATGTAAGGAGTGAGCAAAGAATGTGACAGTCACGGTGGTCAAAAAAAATATTAATGCTGCAAGTACTTTGGTTAAAGTACCAAGTTACTTAAGATGTTGTAATTATTTTCATATTCCTGCTATTAAAAGAATGTTTATCACCCATAAATATTAATAAATGCTGACCAGTTAACACTGGGGTGTCAGTCTTCTCACAAAGAATAAGCTGAGTTAGAACTCTAAGCAGGATCTATCTTTGTGTTTCCCCAAAACATGTGATGAATATATTCTGGTTACAGTAAACATAAGGAAAAAAACTAAAATCTTTATTGAATGTTTTAACTTAAAAGATTCATTATAGATTTACATCGTTCATAAGAAGATAATAGAATAAATGAATACAGAAAGAGTCCACGAGTCAAGTTTGACTGACCGTGCTGTATTCTATTATAGATCTGTAAGAAACTTCACCTCATTTTCTCACAGCTGATTTATGGGAATACATAAACTGCTTTCTCTTGAGAAAAAATAACTCCATGGACCTTTATTGTAATTTTAAATAACTGCCTTAATGAAGGAATATTCTGCAGCAATATATTTTAGTAACAATGGAGTTTGAGGTGTAATCATTAAAAGGAATGCTCCTAAGTGTGTGAGTTTATGTCTAAATAGATAAACTGTTTATTAAAAGATTTTCTCATTTCAACAGCTATTCAAGCAGCCACTCAGAAACAGAACACACAGACACACTCATCTCTCTTCCTTCTCATAAGCCCTGTACACTTAAGGGAGGAAAAATGAAGACCAGAAATTGTTTGAAGTGTTTGCAAATTATCATGACTGGATTTAAAGTTGACTGCTGCCTATTGATAAGGAAATAGGTCTTTACAATGTGGTAAATTCTTAAACCTTGGAATACTAAAGCTGGAATTTAGGTGAGCAGGGTTGCTGAGGAAAAGATAGTGGATATATCAGGTGGAGGTATCTGGGAGCAGTCTTCACAATGTAAATGAGGTAAAAGTTTATGTCCTTAATTCTTTATATAATTATCTTTTTTCCTTTGGATTATTTTTTTAAAAGGTTTAATTTTTATTATGTATGATTTAACTTTATTTAAACATAAGGTACAATTACCAGTAGCTAAGAGGAATCTCTTGTGTTACCTGTATAACTTACTGCCCTGAACAGCTTTCTTATTTAGCAGGATTTGGCTTAAAGAATCCTTTACCCAGTATCATTTTTGTTGACATGCTGGTGGCTCTTTGCCCTTTCAAACTGAGTTTGAAGGGGGAAAAAAAGCCAGAATCACTGAAACAGCCTTGTCATTTGCCTTATATGTGGAAGAGCTACCCCTCTGCCTTTAGTATTATGACCCATTGTGTTATCATAACTAATATAACTTGTAATAAATGTCTTCATGTAAGAAATTTGCAAAATAAAACTACATAAACCAATTCTTGAAGAAGGCTTTCATCTCCAAATAACAAAAAAAGGTCTAAACTTAAATCCCAACTACACTGAACAAGTTAACTTAGCCTTTCTGAGCCTGTCTCCTCATCTGTAAAATGAGAATTATACCTGCCACTATGTAAATTAGAAGAACCCCTGGTGGTGCAGTAGTTAAGTGCTCATTTGCCAACCAGAAGGTTGACAGTTCAAACCACCTAACCTATGGGATACAGTAAAGCAGTGTATAGAAATTTACAGCTTTTAACATTTACATTACTTAAATTGCTTCTAAAAAAGATCAACAAAAAAGGGGAAGAAAAAACTTTAGGATGACCGAGAAAGAAGGAGTCATCACTACGTAGCCTACAGAAATGCAAAGAACTGTACAAGAATATTACAGACAACAAATAGAGAAACATTTAAGAAATAGAAAATTTGAGTCAAGTAAAGAAATTGAATTTGTAATTAAAATTCTTTACACAGAAAAGTCTTGGACCAAATAGTTTTACTGGTGGATTCTATCAAACCTTTAAGAAAGAAAGAATACCAAGTCTTTCACAAACTCAGAAAAGTCAAGAGTAGTAACACTTCATTCTATGAAATTATTACTCTGATGCAAAGCCAAAGATACCATAAGAAAAGTAAAAGTAAAAGTCAGTATTTGACATGAAAAGAGATGTAATAATGCTTTAAGGGGAAAAAAAAAAAAAAGCAATTCAAATCCAGCAACATTCAAAAAGGATTATACAACATAACCCAGTGGTGGTTATCCAAAGAAAAAGTTTGGTTTAATATCTGAAAATCAACTAATGTAATACACTAGTGTTCTTCTACATTAACATGATTGCTCTGAACTAGCCAGTTCTTTGGTGTGCATTGTAGGATATTTAGCAGCATGCCTAGACTTTACCCACTAAAGCCAGTAGCAAACAAGTCATGAACAGAAATGGGGAGGGTATGTGTGTGTGTATAGGCTGGAGGGCTGAAGCAAATAAAAAATACATGGCCACAGACAGTATAGCTGGTTTTTTTCAAATTGGTGCTTAACCTGCACACAGTAGATAAGAATAGAGGGAAGCTGTTGTTGTTATGTGCCATGGAGTCAGACCCAACTCATAGTGACCTCTCCTTGGATTTCCGAGGCAGTATCACTACGGAAGTAGATTGCCCAACTTTCCTTCCCAGGAGTGGCTGATGGGTTTGAACTGCCAGCTTTCTGGTTAGCAGTCAAGTGCCTTAGGTACTATACTACCAGAGCTCAGAGGGAAGCTAGGCAGAACAAAAACAGGTCTTTTTTTTGACCTAAGGTAAAGATGTAGCTGTGTGTGTGTGTTTATATATTCCTTTGGAAAAGGACACTTCTACTTTTTTTTATTTTTAATTTACATCAGTCCTGGGAGAAAGTCCCCATCGTCTGCCTGTCTTCTTGTAGTGGTCAGAACACTGACAGGCAGAGCTGGGGTAAAAGTTACTGAATGGAATCAAAGGGACTACTTATCACTGGCTCAGGAAATTAAACACAGAAAAACCATAGACATACATTCATTTATCCCCAAATGCAAAACCAACTTAGCGAGCAAGTGAGCATTCTGTGTGCACAGACCCTGAGGTTTTACTTTTGCCTGGGAGTGGTTTGCTGCTGCATCACACTTTCCATATGTGGTTCCATGACAGGCACAGACTTTCCACTGTAACTTACAGTGGAAGTTAAGAGATACAATCTAAGGCCCAATGAGAGTGTTTTTACTCTTTGACTGATCTTTAGGTGATGAAAGATAAGGCCTTTTACCCTACTCCAACACATTACCTCCCATCAGTCTTGCCACAGAAGAGATACCTAAGGAAGATGAATACATTTATCCATCATTCCAGTAGGTGGCGCCCTCATCTCTCCATCAACACAATTCCCTTGACATGCAGAGCTGCAATCACCCTATCAGATTATCCAGCAAATTAAACAGCTGAAATCTATGTCTCTCTGAAATCTGAAGCAATCTTAAGGTGTCTAGAGGAAGAACAAAAGGGTTAGCCTACCATACTCAATGTATAGTTCATATGCTACCCTTATTTTGTAGATGAATGTCATTTGAAGACTGGCTTTACAAATGCAGTGTTATGCCTAATGTGGAATTTAATGCCAAATGTCCTCAGAACACTACCACTACTAGAATTTGTCCCCTTCATGAAGTGGTTTTGTTTGGATTCATATCAACCATTTCTTTGAGGGGCGGGGTAGTACATTCACTAAGAGCACTAGAGCCACACTTCCAGGTTTAAAGCCTACTCCCTCTCCCAACCTGAGAGTTTTAGAATCTTGGGAAATTTGTTCAATAGGTATGTTTTCTCATCTATAATATAGGATTAATGATTAAATGGTTTAATATAGATAAAGCACTGAGTACAGTACCCAGCATAAAAGAAAAAACAAAACAAAACCCTAGCAACCCTAGAGAACAGAGTAGAATTGTCCCCAAAGGGTTTCCAACACTGTAATCCTAATGCAAGCAGACTGCATGTCTTTCTCCCTTGGTGGGGCTGATGGGCTTGAACCACTGACTTTTCAAACAACCACTGCACCGGCAGAGATCCTCAATCAATGTTATCATTTGTTTTATGTGTACATTTATGTCCTGTCCTTCCAATCAACCTTCAAGATGTTTGCGGAAGGGGAACATACCTCCTCCAGCAAATTCGGCTGGGTACCAGAGTCTGTCTGTGCTCTCCCATATACCCTTCCCAGGATTCTGTGATCCACAAGGGGAATTGAAAACTCATCCTTGATTTCCCAACATGTATTTAAAATTCCTCTACCTTTCCACTTAGATTCCTAGTCTTGGAATCTTAGGGCCCCTAATTCCCACCACAATAAAGATTCAGTTTCCCCATCCAGTTGTATCACATTTAAAGTTTGAATATCATTCTTGGGAGAAATCAACTACTTTATTCAGTTGAGGATGGGGAGTTTGGAAAAACAGCAGGGAAATACAATGAAAGTACTGGAGGCCCTGAGCATACTTGTATATGTGCACATTATACATGGATGTCTCTAACCAAGGAAAGGAGCTGAACTTTTTAAAAAACAGATTGATTTATATTATGCTGTTGTGGTAATGAGAAGGGAGGTGTGAAGTAGACAACCAGAAGAGAAGGTGCATTTTATGGGGGAGCAGGGAAAGGAGTTGAGGTTCATCAATCACCTACCCTGTGTCAGGCCTATCAGAAATACATCTCAATTCTCACAATAACATGGTGAGGTGGACCTGGAATCTCAAAATTCCTCACAGAGTGGTTAATTTGGCTTGCAAATTAAAAGATTTTGACTGGCTTTTGTGGGAAAATAGGAGAGCAGACCACATGCTTTTGGTGCACCAGACTTCCTCTCCACTTGCCATGACAGCAGCTTCCTCCTTCCTCTTGAAAGTTTCCTACCTGGCTCCTTTGTGCACCTGAGTTGTTGGCCCCTATTATGGATCAAATTGTATGCCCCAAAAAATATGTGCTGTAAATCCTAACCTC